AACCTGCCTTTACGTTTAAATAAAGTTCCGTACAGTGGGGGAGATGGGAATGGAAACTAATCTTAGATCTGTGCTTAAAGCAACATTACCCCACCTTTTCCAGACAGTTTCTTTCCAGCGCTGCGGTTCCAAATCAAAATGGCTGCCCTAGTGAGCTCCTGCTCAAAGGAAGTGTGAACCGAGGCTGCTGCTGCTGCTGCTGCTGCCTTCAGAGGCTGCCAGGAATATTATAACTCACGCTTTTAATTTGTCAGAGTTTAGTGAAGCCGCCTTTCTAAAACACATATGCTGGGCTACTTTTAAAATCCTAAATAAAAAAGGTGAAGAGGTTCACCATCTCGTCTCTGTATATTCTCACGTTGAATGTAGAGCTCCCTTGATAGTATATGGACCACCGACGTGTTGGTGTCATTTTTATGGAGCACGTACTTTTGCCTGTCCCAAAATGTTGTATTTGTAGCTTATATTTTAGCGAAAACAAATAAATAAATCTATATAATCTTATATCTAACGTTACATACGGTATACATACATATTAGTATACACATTAATCAGCCAGTCAATTTAGTATAACTGGTCTGGTTATCAACCAATTTACACTGCTTTTTCTCCTAGAAAGTGTATTCGCCCATTCTTGTTGCCAGTCTTAGTTGTTAGTTGTTAGTCTTAGGTGTTTTTGTGAGAAATTGTGTTATATAATATAATAATCAGTTACACGTCTATGGGTAGTTCATTCGCTAATCAATGAGTTGAACTTTTCGATATCACTTATTTGTTGCGCAGTAGGAGCTTACGAGCAGCACGTAAAGGCAGCATTGAGACCACGAGAGAGTCAGATGCTGATGATGGTCAATGGATGAGACTGATAATAAAGACCACAACGACGCTGAACAATTTAAAAGGTGCATTTAAGTCACTCAAGTGAACGCTGTAATTAAAATCTAAATATTTTGCGGTCAATAAAAGCTGCATGACCGTTTTTACCTCATTGATATAATCAATATAAAGTGATCTGGGTCTTACACACTAACACACAGAGCCACATACATCAATATAAGGACTTATATCCTACTTTGCGGTTCTATTAAATTATACTGATTATAAAGGCTAAGAGAAATGCTTCCACACCTTGAAAATGGTAGGCAGATATTGTTAAAATGCCTGTTTAAATGAGCCATTAACATGCATTTATTTAAAGTGGTGGATACACTACATGGGTGATCCATCACAGGTGGACAGCTCTAAGTTAGTATGCAGTTCCTCAAACCGCCACTTGAGGCTGGCTAAAGAAATTAGTCAATGTCCATAAGGCCCCATATTAAAATGTCCAACTTGACAGCAGACATAAACATATTTACAGCCTGGGGCAAAAAGCGGTTTTGGTGTCTATAGCTAAATTCCCCATTCATCACAACTGTACCTGGGGTTAATTTTTATATAACTCACCAGTTTAAATAATATCGAGTCTTAAAATTCTGCTAAATTAAGGGCATGGCCGCTTCGAGTGACAGGTGGGTGACATTACAGGAGGCTGTTTTCAGAAACCAGCCTTCATTCAGCCCACCTCAGCTCCACCCACGCTCCATGTCTTTGACAATTTTTGGATTACCTGGGAACCGGCAAAGTCAGGACTGCCAAGATAGCAGTCCCAACTGAGCCTCCCAGTGGCTCTTATGAAACCTATAGGTGATGGCACAGAGGCTACGTCCATTGTTACTTATTCAGTCTATGGTATACACTGCTAAAAGAATGTGGCCATATGAGACCCAGATTACCTCCAAATGTGGTCTGAGTGATCGGGTCTCAATGTGTCTTAGGTGCGTTCACACCTGGAGTTCTCCACTTGTGATTGGATCATCAAAGACGCCTGTTAATGCCAGGTGTAAACAGGGCCAGAGCTGTTATGATGATAAAAATAATTCATAATCTGCAGACTTGTTGCCTGGATGAAGTATGGAATAGTTGAACCATTTAATATGTCAGACCAAGTTACAAACAACAAATAAAAACTTTATTTAGATGTATTTTCGTCAATACTTTTCTTATGTCAATGTCAATGCATTGATGCATTAGTTACTACACAGACTACATGATGGAGTAATTCTTGACTTTTGTTATCCATCTACATGAATATAAACGTTACCAGCCTATTATACCAGCACTGATGTTGTGATTCCGAGGAAGCATGATATTGGCACCAGTTTCACAGATATGTTCATTGTCTGATTACCGATAAAAATAATTCATTATGTTAGTGTTGGTCACTTCTGACTGTACTTTGAACTTAGCTGAAACATGATTTTGACTCTAAATGTTAACTTTAATTAATTCAATTGTATTTGTCTACAGCAGGATAAAAAAAACCAGAACATTTTAAAGGGAATTTTGTAATTAATTCAAAAGGCATTTATTACAGGAGTAAGTACTGTTCTGGGTAGAAAAATCCTTGAAATAAATATTTAGTGTAGTCCTTGGTAATAATATTTGGTCATATTGGCCAGCTTTGTCATTTTGCTGTAGTTATTGAGCTGGATATCAGCTGTGGTCCTGGACAGGTTGGGTGCTTATTTTCTACAGACCTACGGACTTACTATTCATGATGACTTGGGTCTGAGCTGTAAAGTAGATTCACACTGTGGTTACTTTTGCTGTGATGAGTTCAGATACGGACTGTCGCCTTTTTCTTTTTCAGCAGTCAAAAAGACAAATGAGTGGATTCAGCTGCTTCTTTAGTTGGCTGGAAAAAAACATGCAGCAGCTTCCTGCCTGAAGATGACATAGGGACGGAATGAAATTCCCTGTGTGAAACATAATTTTGGCTCTGCATTGTTGGAATTGTCAGTGTCATTTGTTCTGAATGAATAAAACTGTGTTAGCATTAAATCATGATACTGTAGAGTTGTGTGTTGCATACTGCATATACTGTAAATGTGTAAAGTGGAGGTATATTTAAAAAAAAAAACGTATTTGGTGACAATCTAAACAAACAAACTAGGAATAGACCAGAAAAGACAGAAGAAATAAAGGAACCATTTCAGCATTCACAAACAGAACACAGTGGGAGATGCTGCTGACAAAACAGCCACAAACTTCTTTTAAATCCCACAGAAGGCTTCATAATACATTCTGTGTATCTGAGATGGGTATTAGAGTGACAGTTAATACATGGTGGGCAGAGAATCACTGGTTTCACAGTACAGGTGGGGGTGGATCACACATTGAGAGGCCAGCCTGGTGGAGGTTACTCTTTGGTCTCAAGTGCACACCAAACTGTAGAAGTGCAATGAGCTGCCCTTGAGGGTTGTTAATAAGTTAATAAACATATATTTAAGAATATCCATTTAGTGTATCATTAGTAGAAATTAACCAAATACCTCTATTTCACTACATTTTTCAACAGCTGTAGTTAGTTGTTATTTTAACTACAGATTTTACTATATATACTTGACTGACTTGACAGTATGAAGTATTTCAAATGAGGTCCACTTTGAGGAGCTTTACCTTTTTCAGATGATGGTATGACTACTTTAAAGTAAAACATTTTAATACTATTGCATATAACTAGGTTTTAGGTATATCAGGTACAGCTGCTCATTGCAACATTGTTCATTGCCCCCACTAAACATACAATAGAAAGAATAAATGAAATTTTAAAACTACAGTGTATTTTGACACGGGTCCTCTCAACAATGTATGGTAGCAAGATTAGTTAAACAAAAAAAAGCCTCGAGACTCAGTTTATATAGTGCATCAGTTCATATGGTGGATAATACCAAAGAGAACTGTAAATAATCAGATTACTACAAAGTAACTGTGAAAATAAGGCTTTTGGGGCACATGAGGCGTTAAGGTCCACCTTGCTCTGTTGGTAATCCAGCCATTCAACCCACCATGTGCTGGTGTTTCTAAAGCACAAATATATCTGTATCGGTAGAGGGCAGTATACTCTAAGCATGTGTTGGTGTCTTTCCTGGACATATTTCAGTAGCAACGTTTAACACATCAAAATGTTTTAAAGCCAGAAATGAAATATAAACTAGTAAGTGACAGTCCAGGAATACAGATTGATGAGTGTGGGTTGGAGCAACCAGACAATGTACCTACAGTGTTAGGTGCTCTGTAGTTTTTACTGTGTGATTGAAATATATTTAACACATACTCTGTTATAGAAAAGGGTTTATGTGCAGGTGTTGTTCTGTGCTATGTTTGCGTTAATAAGTAGTGTTGATGAATATGCACTGTGAGGGGCAAAGCCTAAGGCAATCTAAATGTGTGGGCGTTAGCATGAGAAACTGTGTTGATCACGTTGTGTATTAATGCAGGGTGTGTGTGGTGTGGTGTCAACCAAGGTGAGACTGACAGTGACAGTGGCGTGCATGGTGAGAGCAGTAGATTTAACCTCCACTGCTGGTAGATAGGTAGACAGTAATGAGCATTCCAGCATTAGTTTCTTACAACTGTCTCACACTGGGGGAGGGGTGCCTTTCATTAAGTGAGATTAAATCACATGCAATGCTTCAGCAGCATGTCCCCGAGCCAAAAGTCACCCTCTTGCTTTAAAAATAGACAAATACATTTCAGAGAAGATTTGCTCTTTTTGTTGGTGGCGGCTTGACAACCTGTTTTAATGTCCCAGCAGCATGACTGGGATGTCACAGCGTGTGGGAACGAGATGACGTGTGAGGCGATGTTTTTGGACGTTGCCCTTTTCCTGATTCCACACCCACCTCCTCTTCACCAGCTCACGACATGTTCTGAAGCAGTGCTGCTTTGCACCCGTCAGGGCACATCGCCGGCGAAGATGGGTGGAATATGGCACCACGGGATCCGCAGCGACAGCCAAGAGCAGCGGTGGACAACATCTCGCTTAAGAGGAAAAAACAGGATGACACCAAGTCCAAAGCAGAAACAACAAAACCTTACCTTGTAATCCCTCTTCTGCTAGTGCTGCTGCATGAGAGAGGCAAACACGTAAAGAGGAAGATGAGTCTTGTAGAATATTCAGTTCATAAATTAGATTTATTTTGATACAGTATTTAGTTATACTCATTCCAAATTTTTCATTTCGTAAGTGAAATTAAATGATTTTCTGGAAACAATTCTGTTCTGAGGAAAAACCCTGCACGCCATAAGCACCATGATTTTGTGTTGTTTCTAGTATGTACAGTTACATATACTCATTATTACTTCTGCTTACAGTAAGTTATACTGTACATAAATATGCCACACATATCCCTCTTTGCATTTGACTATGCATATGTTTTTCTTCTCACCATGCACAGGTTTCTTTGACCTGAAGCATAGGCACTGAATTTGTCCTCGTTTCAAAAGAAAATAATAAACCTTTAGATTCTGACGCATGTGTTCAACCCTTTCCCTCCTACTGTTTTGGCAAATGTCCAACACGCAAGGAAAATGTTTTCATCTAAAATATTTTCATAGAAAAAGATGAACAGCTCGTGTGACGTAGACATTTTAAGAATAGGCAATACATTCATTAGAACATTAACCCATGCACATTACAGCAAAGATGTTTTTTTCTTTTCAGGCATTAAGCCTGAGTTTCTTTTTTAATATATTTTGTTGTAGGCTCTACCTTACTGATAGTATTAGGGAATTAAGTCAGTCTGTCACAGCACTGACTCTTTGTTGAACATCTTAAATGGGTTTGCGTGTGCGCCTACACAATTACAGTAGAGCTGAAATACAATGAAGGCAGACAAGGTGCTTTGTTGGTCTGATAAACATCGAGTACGTTAGTTTGTCCAATGCCACTCGAGAACCATACTGATGACCTTGAGAGAACAAATGTTAAAGAAACACTCTGTGTGAAGTAGACTCCTTGCGTGTTTGGTTGTGATCTCCTGCTCTGACTTGCAGCTGCAAAACTCGTCTTTGGCAAAATGTAATTCACTGATAGTCTTACATTTATACATTCTGATGTACAAAAAGAACAATCCATTCAAAGTAGGCTGTAAAATAACTGTTGTGCTACTCCCTAAAGGTGCTATGTGTAGCAATTTAAACCAGTATGTCAATGAAAACTACCGTAAGCTGTGATGGCTTGGTTATTATTATTATGATAAATAAATCGGAAAAGGCGGAGATAATTACTAGCTACTATTTAACACCATTGGTGCTGTATTATTAGTACTCGACTTTCTCAAATGTACAACCATGTTTCCCATAAACTGTCACAAATGATGTTGCTGCTTGTCCTCATGTGCCATTCTCTTTACTGAAAAGGACAAACATGTCTGAATTCATTTTTCTCTTGCCATTTCTTACCATCTATCTTCTGCCATTGCCAGAAACAATCAAGCACCGTCTTAACAAACCTAAGCCACTGCCACACAATGGAAAATCTTTTGTAGAATGCGGACAGAGAAGCAAATCTTCATCATGGTGGCTCTGAGTATTTGTTAAATATACTAAATATAACACTAACTCAAACTGAATGTGGCAACGGTTTACTGATGTGCCAATGATACACATAGCACCTTAAATCTACATTCTCCCGTCTCATTCATTCACTCATATGTGTGTGTATGTATACACACACATATGACACACACACACACACACACACACACACACACACACACACACACACACACACACACACACACACACACACACTTGACATCAACTAGTCAGTGCTGAGAGCAGTTTAGCATGCGATAATTCTGCATTACTTCCTGTTAGTTACTGTAGCAAACTCTTCCATGCACTTATCTCAGGCACAGAATTGTGACAGAGATAGAGAATAAACTAAGAACAGCTCAGATTCAGTAACCCTCCTTTCTCCCGGCCTCTTTATAAAGGGTAGGGTTTTTAAAACAGGAAACATGAATGAAAATCTGGGCTATATCAAAGCAGAAAATATTATCTTTTATATATCTAAGATATTCACATCAAGATATTCAAGTGCCAATTTGAACTGAGAATCTGTATGCAAAAGACACAAGGGTCATTCCTCTTATGTAAGACAAGTGAGTGTACAGTGAAGTCTTTCCCTTTTCTTCCCTCGACCTACTCACAGATACAGTAAGAGGAGTAGTACAGGCATGTAACAACACAAAGCTAAACAGAGATCTTGGGAAAAGTATTTTCCTGTGTCACATTACAGCATCTCCTCGTAGAAGAGAAGGTATGCCTGAGAGTTGAGTACCCTTGACTCTGGTACTGTCTGAACGGTGGTATCGCTGATGTACACCCACTGGCCCTGGGAGCTGCCACCGGCATCCCTCGCACCTGAAACACACACACACACACACACACACACACACACACGCGCATACACAGAGTCAATATCATGGGGGACATAGACTCCTTTGAGAAATAAGCAGCTATTTGTTGTTTCATTTGTCTGAAAAAGCCAGTGTGGGTAAACAGTCTTCAGTGTACAGATATGTGCAGGAGCTGTCAGAGGATGGCTCCACATAACGAGGCTAAAATAATGCAATCCAACGAAGAAGATGGACTTCGCCAAAGCTTCTCAATTAGACTTGGACAGTATCAAGGTATCACAGTATACCAACATATTTAGAAATCCTAAAAGTATGACTTTTAACACTGTCGACCACACAGACGCTCCTTTTTCTGGTGGGTTGATCATACTGGCTCATAGAGCGTTTGTTTTTTAGTTTAGATTTGTGTGGGTGTGTTTGTTCTGTGCTTTGTCTTGGAATATTAGTGGCACCTCACATGGCTGCTTTTTATCTCCACAGTCTGCCAGTGGGAAGAATGAACATATAATAAGTGTCCATTCTGGATTAAAAGCTCTTTTTTGCTATCTACTTTTTCTCTTTTTAGAGAACACCATGTGAATTTACAAATTTCTCTGACTTGCTTACTACTCAGACTGCCTCTTATCTCGTCTCCCATGTGTCACACAGATTTGATTGGCTGAGCAGAGTCACATGAGATGAATTGGGGGCCACTAAACCAGTGCCCTTAAAGGCTAGAAAACTACACCTGTTAACATAGACACGACACGTCCTGGTATGCTAAAATGACTTCTATCACACAAATACCTTCCTATACGGTATACACCGGTGAAATGTATGGAACACGTCTGAGTCTTGTGTCAACTTATTAGCAGCAAGGTTTTTCCACCAACTACCTTCCAGCATTACTCTGAACAGTAAAGCTAGGCACTCTCCTAAAGAAGAAGAGAAATACGAATAGAGAAAATAACATGGCTTTATTGAACATAAAGACCTCTATTCGTACTGCCCTTTGTAGAGGACATCTTTATTGTTATAAGGAGTGAGAACTCACCACTTTCACGAACAGACATAAAACAAACACAGACACAGAATAGATAAAAGCTCTTGAAGGAGCTCAAGAGACCTGACAACTGACCTGATAGGTTCCTGTGGTGCTGTTCTGTTTTCCTCTGGGGAGCACGGACTTTCACATAAGCAGTGTAGTGGCCCCCCCGCATTGAGCCACTATGTTCAACAATCCCATACAGGCTGTAGAGGACGCGATCACCGGCTGCCAGGTTCTAGCAAAAAAACAAGATTAGCAAAAAGGAAAATATTAAAGAAAAGTAAAGATACGGAGTCAATTTTATTTGTTCAGAACATCTCATACACGGGTTAACTCATTGTGCTTTACAGTGAAACATAAAACAAATAGACAGAAAGAAAACACACAAATTACTCCACATAAATAAAGTAACTTTTCAGTGACCCATCCAACACACACTTACACAAAATACATGTTTTGAGGAACAGTATCAACCAAGGACATTCATTACAAACTGAACAACTGAAGCAATGAATAGTAGAAACCTTTGGAACAGTAATAGCAAAGCAGTGCTTAATGTAAGCAATTAAAAAAAAAAAACACCTTTATCATAAGTTTGAAGTAGAAGGGATTCATTCAATTTCAAGTTCAAAGAAAATTTTTCAACTTTGGATTAGTAGTTTAATACCTTGCAGGACGCCGAGCAGAATGGAGCCAGATCCAAGATCAGAGGGAAGTCAACATGGCGGTTCACTTTTCGTAGGTTCATCCCAGCCTTAAAATACAAAAGCAGAACCATAGCACATTAACATTGAGGCCTGCAGACCCCAACACAAGCCCCTCAATGGCACCCTTTAGGATATGCAAAAACAAAAAAAGGCAGCATGTGTCTGCTCACCTGATGGAAGCGTTTAAGATGCAACGTGATGACAGGGGGCAGCGAGGAGATCAGCATTTGCTTCCTAGCGCTTGTGTACATTTTCTCCACCTTCTTATCTATGCCAGAAACAAAAAACACAGAGAAATGTCAGGTTTAACTGTTAAAACATCCTGTCTGTTTTATTCAAACAAACAAAGTCATGATTCTTGGGGGAAAAAAATAGTTTAAGTGATTAAAAAAACATTATATTATATACATTATGGGATGACAGGAACATCTGGAACCACAGAGAAACTGACAACTGCAAAAATCAGTGACCAGATTGTAGCCCTCGACAGTAGTAAGAATTTGCTCTGATGTGCTAGTGATAAACTCAACAGGGTCAGGTGGCAGAGTCAAGGATTGAGATGGTAGTTGTGTATCTAACCATATAATTGCAAAAATATTGTCAGCACACAGGAAAAAAATTGAATTAAGCTGCAGGGGTGGACTGAAGTTTCTATGGATGTTTTAATATTTTTTCCAAAGCAAACACAAAAGCAGAAGCAATTGTAACTGGCAAGAATTTAAGCTGCCTACGTCCAGCATGCTCCATGAAGGACGAAAATAAAACTAGATAAACCTTTTACAGCTATCAATGAAGTTTACATGAGATGATTTCAATATCCAAAATATGTACAGTAATCTGGCTTTAATTTAAAATATCTTATCAATTATTTGCAGGTAGGCAACTTGCAGACTGGTTGCTTATCTTCAAAGCTCTTTGTTGTTCCAGATGTTTTGTCTTACCGACTGAGCCGCTCTTGCGCAGCTGTTTCTGTCTGCGTTCAGTGCAGCTCTCGCACAGCAGCTTGTTGTTGCCCATCAGCAGTTCCACAGAGGTGAACTGGTGGAGGCAGGACTGGATGGAGCACTCCTTGGAGCTGGGTGTGTAACTGTGGGACAGCACCTGGAAGGCCCCCTGGTGGTGTTGATGGTGGAGGTTGTCTCGTGACTGTGTTTCTCCCTGCTCTTCTGGAGAACAGCGTGTAGAAGGAGAGCAGTCCGCAGAGGTGAACCCGAGGTTGACTTTAGACACTGCAGTAACTAGCTGTTCTACAGCGCCACCTTGCCTCGTGGAGGATGATGGTGAGGGGGAGGAGGCGGAGATGGGCGTAGGTGATGGAGTGAGGGTGGAGGTGGACGATGGGGTGGACATGTGCCCGTGGCTGTGGCTGGAGGAGGGGGTGCGTGGGGCCCACTCGCTCTCTGAGGCCTCGCTGTCAGCGTCATTACTGCTGTCCTGAGCACCAGAGTCTCTTTCACTGCCATCTGATAGGCTGCCGGCAGCGGCCATCTTGCAAACTGAGATGCCGCGGGCCGATCCACCAGCTACCCCCTCCTCCTCTGGCCGCTCCGCACTGCAGCCTGCTCCCTTCTCCTCCACAGAGCTCGAAGACCTCCTGCTCTGCTGCTTCTGGAAAGAAGAACAGATACATCAGTGAGGCCTATTCTGATAACAAACATTATGTATGGATATAGTCTTAATTTAACAGAGTCAACATGGAAATTGAACATGACATGGATATGAAATACTTTACGTTTCCCCACTTACCACCACAGAAAATATCAGGCTCTTTAAGTACCACTATTATGACCAACGTTAAAATACAGTAATGTAGGCCGACCTTGTTCAGCTACGGACAGTTCATGCACGGTGTAAGTTTATTTCTAATAAGATTATTTATTGTTGACTGTTGTTAAATCGCACAAATAGCACCAGAGCTAATTTGGTGGAAAAGAGGTACTCCTGGACCATACTTTATAGTTACCATTTGGAGCCACAATTGCAGTGTTTTTATTTCCCCTCTGCCTACTGTCTTGCCATCACATTTTAGCTCATGTTAGACCATGGATGTATTGTGTGCACTACACATGTATGCCCATGTAACAGGTTGATACTGAAACAAAATATTCCAGGAAATACAAAAGTTATTTTAAATTACATTTCAGTTTAGTATTCTTAGTCCAAATTTTATAGTATCTTGATAATATGTTTTTAAATTAATTAATTCCATTAAAATAAATATAATTCAGAGATTCTTCAAGCAACTTGTGTACCACCATGTGCCGTAGTGTAGTGCTTTAGAGGGTAAGAATTAAATCGGATAAATATGTATAGATATTTACACATCTAAAAAAGGTTAGCTATTAGCTTGCCCTGTGGTGCTTTGTCTTTCTATTGGTGGTAGGTCTACAAAGAGAATTTCACTTTGTAGAATTTGAAGGGCCAAGCTTTGTCTTCTTTTCAAAATCTTATAAAGGAAGACAAAAAATTGAAACTGAAATGAGTAAAATGTGGACATTTGGCCCAGGCTTTGCACAATGTGCATATTGTGCATCAGTTTGCAGACAGTGTTGTCGATTAAAAAAACACTGACATGATACAGAATAAAACAAATGAACATACCCAGCAGATAACAGCTTTATGAGAGGCATAAATAGAAACAGTAAAGAGAATTGCTTTTCAAATGAGCAGGACTCTTTACCATCACATACTTCATATAGACTCCCCTACCTGTCCGCTCAGCTTCCTGGTGTTTCTGTTGACAGAGTGCACCGCAAAAGGAACCTGGTCGCTGTGAGTCATGTGGGTGTCCTGCTCCCGGCTGCCCTTCCCCAGCCTACCAGGGTTTGATGGTTTTGATATCTGAGTGACAAATAAAGCATTATCAATTCTAAGTGGTAACAACATGGTGTAGTATACTGGCTAAAGGTGTAAGAGTGATAATCATCATCCTTTAATATTATTTGCACTGATTTTCTTCTGAACAAATGTAGTAGCTCACCCTCTCCTCTATGATGGGTAGAGAGATGTCTATGAAAGCCTCCTTCACTGTGGAGATCTGAATGAGAAATCACATGTAAGTCAGTGCCAGCATATATATTTATCTGCTTTCCTTAATAGTTAAGATCAAAGCCTGTTGGTAACAATTAACTTCTACTGCAGATTTTCACTCAGAGGAGCTGTGGGAAGTGGCTGTTTCTTTGCTTTTTCCCCTGCAGCTCCACACCTGGTGCTCTCTACCTTCAAGGATATTCTTTAGTTTTCATAGTGGCAGTTGCTTTGTTAACAACTCTGAGTGCCCACATTTTATTGTAAATGCCTGCTGCAAACAGTTGGTGTCTGAGCTGGTCCTTGAAGTGCTTTTTTTGTTTTGTTTTTCCCTGTTGATTTCTGTTTCCTCTGACTTATTTTTTTTGTACATCGTCATCCTTTGGTTGTGGGTATCAAAGTAAAAAATGATACTTGGATGTAACAGCTAGAAGACAAAAGGCAACTTAATATTGAGGAGCTTACAAATATCTGCCAGTTTATAACTACTGGTATAACACCAGTGTTGCTGGAATTTGTCTGGCAATCTATTGTGCTTCCTGCAGCATTTCTTTAAACCAGTAGCAAAATAAAATGGAATATTAAGAAATGTGGGGAAGGTTTAACAGCAAGGTTTAACCACATCTATTCAGAATCAACTGCTGTCTGAATATAAGGCTAGATGAAGAAAGTGTGATCTTGTCGACCCTGTTGTGCTTCATGTGTGTTCCTTTGAGTTCAACTCTTTGCCTGATTGGCTCACATGGACTATTCAGAGCCTTTGCAATGCTTCACCCACATACACTTACATGCTCACACTCCTCACACATTATTGTGTTGGTCAGCTCGCCTACAAAGATGCGGTCAACGAAGTTCATCCTCACACCTTCCTTCCCGTATGCTAGTGGGAAAGAAAACATTTTTATCTATTGATTGCATAGATGGATAATGTGATGATTAGCCTGTCAATTCCTTTAAAAACCATTCTGGTCACTATTATGTCTCCAATAAAAGCTGAGAACAAATTGTGTTAATCAAGCTTCTTGGACAGTGGACAGATGCAGGATTACTGCATTTTTTGTCAAGACGTTCTAATTCTTAAAGGTGAAACACATTTCAATTTTGACAAGGTGGACAGTTAGAAGGAATAGAACTCATTTTGTTGATAATACGAACAAAACTTTTCAGGCAACACTGAAGGTTTATCTAACAAAGACTATGCTGTTCTCTGTCTTCGATCAAACCACCCTTAGTCTGATTTGTAAATAAGTTGTATTTCCATTAGCTGCCACAAGATGGGACTATTGATCTTGGCCATCCATTTACGGCGGCTGGCATATAAACCTTTGACTTTGCGTTTGGTGTCCTCATCTGCGGTCTTCTCTGTGGGATTGTTGAAAGCTTTCAGGATTCCCGCTTTCACCCTCTGGAAACAACAAACAAAAAATATTACAACAATGCAGACTTTAAATGATATTCCTGGATGCAAAATAAACACGTAAATTCACTGTTCTTTTTCTTGAATTCTCTCCATTACATCCATTAGTGAAACATCAAAATGTAGCCTACAGCTCAGTTTGACAGGTATACCTATTATAAGCATCATTAGTGTAAAATAATTATTGTGCTTGTCTAAAAACGTTAACATGTAAATCCCTTAATGAACTCATGTTTTCTGCTTGTGTGTGTGTGTGTGTGTGTGCACACAGAAGTTCTTCACAGGAGCGTCTTATTGAAGGTGACATGGTCAGTGAGTGTGTTGGTGAGAGAGCTGTGAAGAGGCACAGCCACAGTAAAGCACCAATCAATAGATAATTGGCCATGGTCTATGTCTGCGGTCGAGACCAGTCAGCCCCCATTGTACCGGGACCCACACACTGGACTGGCTATTTAGGTCAAAAAGTCCTGTTAATCCAAGCCCGGCCAGTCTGCACCCCACTCAGTCAGCACAGTCAAACCAGGCTGAGGCTCTCCTACTAATTAATTACCAGTAACCCCCACCAATGTAACAGCGTGCACTGTCCCACACAGGATGGGAGGGGGTAGGGAGGGGGTGAGGCGGTTAAGGGGGTGGAGAGGGTTGCTGGTACAAGGGTGCAGGGGTGGAAACTAAAATGAAGACGGGGCAAAGAAGGACAGTCCATGCCCTGAGAGAGTAATACCTACCGTCTCAGCTAATTGGTGATAATTGACTGGGGCCAAATTAGCATATTTAGATCTCTGATACTAATGGCCAATCAACACAAACACTTAGGGCCTCTAAAAGGTTGGTGACACCCACTGCAAAAATACCAGTGTCTCTCTCGGACACACACTAACACAGGTGTGTGTATATTATTTTTGTGGCATTTATGAGTTACCGAAATGTGCCTATTCAAAATGAATAGGTTTGATTCTGGCTCAGGTATAGATTCTCGTAAAGAACAACATGTTTGTCCAGTGTTTGAAGAAGCTAAACATTTCATCTTTATTAGAACAGTTAGTCACTGGTTTAATGTTTGCATTCATTTTTTAAATGATTGAATATTGTAGGCTAAAATGCCACTGTATCTCTGAATGTGCTTGGCTGTATAAATGAGTTTCTGAGTGAATGAATAGAGGAGGCTGTACCCCCTCCCTCTTTACCTCCTTGATTGGATTGGGAGACTGGCTGATAGGCTGATGAGTGTGTGTGTGTGTGTGTGTGTGTGTGTGTGTGTGTGTGTGTGTGTGTGTGTGTGTGTGTGGGAGGGGGGCTGTGGGTGACCCTCAAGCACAATGGGACGGCCCTGGAGCTCATTCAGCAGCTGTGGGTTTCCCAAGATCGCACAATGATGCCGGTCGTGCCACTTGCAAGTCCCTTAAGTGGCACAACTGTCAGTGTTCACAAGTTTGAATGGGAGCAGGGGAGCCCAGCCTGTGGCCCCTCCTGGGTCTGGGGCTGACCACTAAACACACCCGCTAACTTCTCCTCCTTGGTTCACGTAGTCACTGGTGGGGCCACGGGGGGCAGCTCAGCCCTGCAAAGGGCTGCTGTGGGGTCTCCTAATTGCCCTGCAAAGGGTTTGGGGGGAGGGGGTTTCTCTGTACTTGCCAAAAACATGGCACCATAAGGTTAAAACACAAAAACTGGCTAGCCAAACAAAAAGAAGATATCAGCTTATGTGAGAGCACACAGCTGAGTTTATCCTAGTCTAGTCTCTATATATTGTACAAGTGGAGGTTCATAAGGCCGACAATAAATGCCAGCGACTAAAATTAATTCTTTAATTTATTAATTTTATAAGTGAACTGCCATTATTGCTGCTTGATTATCTTTTCATAAATTGTTCAATGTACTCCATAAATAACTATGTACTTAACAGCAATCCAGCTAAACAACAAAAATAGCAGACTAAAACAAACAAAATATAATTTGCTCAATCAAATAAAAGAAAACAAACTAAGAGTCTGCAGTTATGTTAGCAGCTCTGTGAGGCTGTGCTAAGGCCCAGAAGTGCTTTGAGCTAAATGCTAATGTGAGAATGCTAATTTTCAGTGACAATGCCGTTCATGTTCAGAATGTATGTTTACCATGTTCACCATCTTAGTTTAGTGTGTTAGCATGCTAGAGGATGAGGGCTTTGTTAGAATTGCCGTGGCTAAACAGGTGTATGTACATATATACAGTTTAGAAGCTCACTTTAGTTTCCTCTACTCTTATGGAGTCCATTAGGTAGTGCAGAAGCTCCTGGCTGTCTTGTTGTTGGTAGCCCTTGAAGCGTGGAGCCCTGTAACACAAAATAAAAACACTGATGAAAGTCAAGAACAACAGAGAGACACAATCTTATGAAAGCAAGCAGAATATGGTAAGGAGAAAACCACTATTACCCCTTTTCAATGCCTTTTCAATTTTTATCCTTTTATCAAAGGGTTTCTTCACTCGTACAATGTTTGCAGCGTAATGTTTTCAATCTTACAAATCTTTGTCTTCAAAGTTCTCAAACTTGCTTTGCAGACATTCAACAGAGATTCAACTCTTTAGTATTTTAACAGGGGACCAAACAAACAAACCAACCAATCACTTGGCTTCTAATCAACATTTCGAAGACACAGATTTTGTAACACTGAAAACATTACACTTGCAGACCTTGTAAGAATTAAGCCAAATTATTTCAGACATTACAATCTAATTTACAAATGTTTTCATCCTATTATTCAGTTATGAATTCAGTTTACAACCTCAAATCTTAGTTTTAATATGTTGATATATGACAATAATCTAACCCTATACATTCTAGCTTTGTGGTACATACAGTATTTACCGCTGTAACATTTCTATCACTTCTGAAAGATCTAAAAAGAAAAAACTATTAGAAAAAACTAATGTCCTGGAGTCTGTTACCTTTAAACAATGCACATCTTGATAACATATAACATATCTTCATGACATATAAGATGACATAATTAAACACACCACAACCCCGCATCTAGCAAAAACTTCAAATTACTGAAATTATTATTAATTTATTTTTTTTAATTTTTTTTTATCTCCATAATTCAATCATTTAAAATGATTCCACAGGTTTTCAATTATAATTTATGCTGACTCTTAAAAGGGAGACGATCCAGCCATTTTACACAATCTTTGTTCCACTGGGTTATCCCTTAAGAATACAGAGGTCCACTACAAGGCCAAAGCGCTCCATACATAACAAAAATAATAATAGTCGGCATTCAAACCACAGCTCTACCACGCGGGCAGTCAATTTATCAGCTTGACATTTTTTTTGGCAGATATCCATCATGGACATTAATGCCAGAGCGTTTAGAGGGGAGGCTCTCCTTGGGTCCGTCCCCTGGCCGTCCACCGTGAAGCAGATGTGAGGACAGATGCCAGGGGCAGATGGGCAGCCAAGGCTACCACTGCCACTGCAACCTGTTGGGCCGAGCCAGCCACATAACCATAGGACAGGTTGGTCCGACAGGCTCAACACACACTGAGAGGCCACACTACTGGTTTGAGAAGCCATCAGTCAAATGTTGAGGGTGTTCAGAGGGCAGGGGGTTGGGGTGGTGGGTTAACTCCTTTAGGAGTACTGTGGAGGTCCTTTACTGGTACTTCCTAGTTTACACCAGTGGTATTCTCCTATGTTTTTTTTTTTTTTTTTAGAGGAAACTGCGTCCACCAAAATCTTTGACACAGCATATAGCTGGTACCAATCTAATACTAATTTATGAATACTTACACACAGTAATATTTGTGTGTTTTTGTATTATCTTACTGTAGACAAAATCTGGCCACAGTGTTTTGGCATTTTCATTCATAATCACACTTATTGGAAGAGTTCACTTAAGATGAATCATCCCTCTCAGACATGCTGACATGTGGCCCAAGAATGGATGTCCCTTGCTGGGAGAGAGATGGCCAACCACCTGCCCTCAACACAGGTCATAACCAGGGGGTCTGGAGGAAGGTCGCCCCCATCCCAACCTTACATACAGAAATGCACAATCTCTGTCTCTTTTGCCCTTTTCATGCATGGGGAAGGGTGGGTGGAGGGGTGAGGATGGTAGAGAGCACATATGTCATTTATTCGCCAACCCTAAAAATGAACAGCATGTGAAGGAATGTCCCCCTGTTGTTCCGCTAACTAGTCTGTCAATCTCCCACGAGACAGAAGCAGAAGAGAAGGATATGAGTGAGACTGAAAAAGAGAGAGAGAAAGAGAGAGAGATTTGCAGAGCAGTATAGAGAAAAAAGGAAAAGCTTGGTTGGGATCAGTGGGAATGAGGAGGTCTGGAAGCTCATCCCAGTGGAGAGAAGCAGAAGGGCCCTGTAGCGCTGCTCTCAATCTGGCCAATGCAAACAGCTGCGGTGCTAACACAATTAATAGCCGGATGAGTTAGTACCAGACACAAGGCCACACAAGCTCACCCCCCAAACACACACACACGTATGATCAACACAATGCACCCGCACTCAGTTCACATATTAAATTCGTCCAGCATTTACTCACACATAAACAATCGAAAAATGACTCAATCATTTACAATACTTTCATAACAAATGGGTATCATACAAATAGAGAGGGTTGTAGACATATCTGGCCTAGCAGCAAACACATTTAACTTTTGTTTGGTGACATCCACCCACAATGCCAATATGCCTAGAGTATAATTTTGCCCTGTAGAAAATGCAGGTTAATACATTGCTAGGTCATACTGAGATACTGGTATATCTCAATGCCAAATGCATTCAAATAAACAGATTCATCATTTCCACATCCTTATCTTTAGGTCTTCTAACATTCACAGGTACAGACCAAAGAAAATGGATTCTTATCATCAGATTGTACAGTTAGAATCCGCAGACTGCACTTCTTGCCTCAGCATATGTGTACAAAACAAAATTTGTATTTTTTTTAACTGAGTATAAACATCTGCTTCTTTTCTTAAACCTGAAAGAGACCTCTCTCCAGAGCAGACCTGTATGCCTGCCCTGTCTCTTTGTGTGTGCACTATATGTTTGTCAATGTAAATGTGTGTTTGTGCGCTGGATGCCAGAGCACAAGATGGAATCCATTGTTGTTCTCTGCCATTTCTATCAGGGATGTAAGGCTCCTCATAAAGGCTTACTAACAACATTTGAAAGATGTGGGTAGTGAGTACTGTATGTAGACATTTATTCACAGCACATGGATGGAGAAGACAGCCGGCATCCTTTTCATTTTTTTGCAATACAAGAAAAGTGTCCAGTGGATGTCCTGAAAATTGACAGACAAATGCCTCTGTCCTGCCTTTTTGTCCAGCTTATGTATTGGACATGCAACGTAGAGTGCATCCCAATAGACTGATAGTAATAATAACTAGTAACATTCTCAATAAATAGTCATTAATAATGCTTTAGATTGACAAAAGCAGTAGACAGGCTGTATTAAAACCACTGTCCCTGAGTGACAGACTCCAGGTGCCAAGGCGGAAGATAAATATTTGAGTCTATAATTAAATGCAGATTTTCCACCACTGACAAGCTTAGCAGTAAAACAAGGTCTGGCTACAAGCTGGGACTCTCGCTGGCACCAGATAGAGAGTATGGTGCTGACCAACATACCCACGTAGCCTGGCACTGGTCCGAGTCCCGACCAGACCTCTTCCACTGGCATCAGGAGGAAGAGGCAGGCAGTGGGATACTCAGCTGGTTGATGTCAAATGCATGTAAACACACGTACACTCACACAAAACTGGCCTCAATGGGGCTCCACTGTTGCACATAAACACTCAAACTGGCCCTGATCTGAGCCAGAAAGCCTTATTAACCTGACTGTCAAGAGAAATGGAAAAGCGCTCTCAGTCCCCACAGGCCAAGGGCAGACTTAAATCCCTTTGAGTGACAAGAGCATGCAGTGACAGGTGAGGATGATGAGGCTTGAGTCACAGAATGTAGCCATTATAAAAGGTCACCAAAATGGAGAAAAATGTCCCAGTAAACAGGAGCGGTTCTTGATCCTGGCCTTTCAGCTCAAAGCTTTAGACCTGACTGAATGTAGATAAGCTGCTGTGTGGAGAAGCAACTGAGAGCTCAGGCTAGTTCTAAACACTAATGCAATCACATTGTGGATGTTAGCAGGAATAGCATATATGTGAATAAGGCCAGAACTAGGGCTGGGCGATTAATTTAAATTTGTAGTCAAACACGATTTATCGGTATTTTTAGTTAAAAACGGTTTTCTCTTGAACTTCCACAACACCGGCGCTCCCTTTGGGCTCCCGTAGGTCAGAGTGCGCTGACCCCTCCCCCCGCCTCTCCACAGATAAACACAACATAGCAGCAAGCCATGATGAGCTCGTCCCCAAAAAAGGCACAGTGTCGTCGGTTGTTTGGATCTGGTTTGGTTTTGTGGCGTCCGACAGCGAACAAACCACGAGCCACTGCAAAGTTTGTTTGACAGCTGTTGCAACCAAAGGTAGCAGTATGACCAATTTATTCCAGCACCTCAAGCAGAGGCATGCAGCCGAGTGGGAGAAATTTTGCTCTCTGCGAGATATACAGGACCGCAGCCCACAAACACCCGCTAAAAAACAGTCTACAAAAAAATCGGGTTTGGTGTGAGATTTTATTTTTAAGCCATATCGCCCAGCCCTAGCCAGAACCCTGAATATTAAGGTCTAGTCGTATGAAAAAGCTAGCTAATAAGAATTTCCTTAAATTGTTAAAACAAGCAAGATTACAAGGTATCACTAGACCTTTGGGCGTGGTCTCCAGATTGATTCATAAATATCATACCTACATGGTGCTGCAACTAGTAATTCCTTTTTGATGATCTAATCTGATGATTTTCTTCAATTAACCGATTAGTTTAGTCTATAAAATGTCACAAAATAGTGAAAAATGCCCATCACAAGTTTCTAGAGCCCAAGATGATGTCTTCAAATTGCTTGTTTTGTTAGACAAAAAGTCCAAAGTCTAGAGAACAAAGAAATCCCACACACCGTCAATCTTGATATCTTAGTCCTTTCACAGTCAAAGCTTTTGATCTGTGCAACAACTTTGTTGAATTTGTTACCTGCTGGCATCTTTTCATGTTGCAGCTCACTCAGTACCACTACTCTTTTCAAGAAATTAACAAGGTCACACAGAACAAAGCCAACACTTTTGAATTCTTGGCAAAAGATGCTCAGAGAATTTCATCACCCACATATATGCCTGGACCTGGATATACCAGCCCCTGTGAAGATCATGTAAAGATTAAAGTCAATAAAATTAGGTGAGGATAACGTGTGGGATTTACTGGGTTATTTCACTGTTTTTCTTTATTATTATTATTATTGCTGATTGATTCCTCTGACAGTCTATGCCACTATATTTTTAATAAGAAATTTCAAAGAATTTTGTAAGACCATGTTTTGGTCCTTTTCTTCCCTTTGAGGATATATGAGGGCTGTATATTTGCATTTACTGTATGGATGTACAAACAATTACATACTGGCCTTAACTAAAGTTCACTTGTGGTATAAGTGTACCATTTGGTTAATGGGTACTGAGGCTTAAAGTCATATCTCTCCATTCAAATGCATGTCAGTGGAATAGATTGGCCCTACTTATGAATGCATAAAGGTGTGTGGAATGCTTGCTGTCTGAATGCACAATTGCCTGCATGTGTGTTGCAGGCTGAGGTGGTACCAGGTGAGGTGGCAGCCCACATACACACACTTCTACACACAAACACACACAGAGGCCTTTCTGATGAAAGCTAGGTACCAGAATAACTGTCAAAGCCACACCAGAGACATACCCAGTCATCCAATGTCAAATACCCTGGTCACCCACCTGCACTACTAAACAGTGCAACATACACACAGAGACACAGACACACAGACGAACATGGGGTGGACCCAACCAGCAGTGTACCATGCTCAAACAAGAGCCCAGCCAACCAAACATTCACACTGTTCATAAAAGAGAACAAAACAACCGTTCAGTTCACAAATGTAGGGCTGTTTCTGCCTGTCATACAGCCTGTTAGACATTGCTCTGGATCAAATATGACACAAGTGGCACAGCAGTGTGGCAAGTAGCAGAAAGAGCTACAAATAGCTAGCTGCTACACATTTAATACAGTACAGTGTCTTTGAGTATGTTGAGCGTAGAAAGGCGTTTAGCTGAGACCGGGTGTAACCTGGGTCTGGCTGGTTAAAGTTTACTACTGCTCTGATGATGGAGTAAGTAATTATAGCTTTGTATTTTTCATTAATTTTTATTTCATTTTTGTTTTCAATTCAGTTTAGTTTCAGCTAGACATTTCCTGTATATTATTTACACAATGTTGTTTCAGTTAACTAAAATGTTTTTTTCTCACCTAGTTTTTAGTTTTCAGTTTTAGTTAACTATAATACCCTATTGATGACTTTACTGACCCTGAGATAACATTTCTGTAGACAGAGTTTGAAACTAGTGTATCATTGTGGGTGATTTTTCTGGTGACTGATGTGATGAATAGCGTCTTACTTCTGGCAGAGCTGGTTGAAGAGGATCTTGGGATTGAGCGGCCCTTTTCCTGGTTCTTTCATGCTCTGGAGGAAGAGGAACATGGCCGAAGTCAGGGGCTCTGGACTGGGCAGCGTTACTGTCAATGGACTCTGAAATATGACGAGACCAAACAAAAAAACATCCATTTCCAAATTTCAAAACACATTAACAAAACAGGATCGAGCGATAACTTTGTGTGCCAATACGCATCCCATTTGTTGTCCAACAGTTTTGGACAAGTCAGACTTAAATTGTTTATTTACTAACAGAAATTAGTATGCTATTTACAAAGTACAATAAAAAAAAAGTTTATTCTCATTTTATTTTTCTCAAATTGAATTCCTAAAACATGTTGTGGCTTTAGAATAAGATTGTAAGTTGCCAAAAACACCAAAGAATGAGCTTTATATACAATCAATTATAAAATTATTTTTATTTATTTTCAGTCAAATGATCTAATTCTGATCAACACACACAACAGGGAACAATGGTCAGACAGATACAGCATCAGTAATATGTATTTGTTCAATCGACTGTTTAGTTCGGAGAAGTGTTACACTTTAAAAGAGTAGAAGAGATGGACAGCATACTGTACCAGATTGGTCTCGACAGGAGGGCAGATCCTAAGTTTGTAACCTTTCTCCTTCACTTCCTGAATGAGGTCGATTAGCATGTGTGTCTGAGACAGGTTCTGTGGGGACAACAGAATTCTTCTTCTCAGACCGTCACATTAAACATTTAAATCCATTAATGCATTAAATGGCATTGGGTAAAAGTATTGTTCAGGTATGAGACAAGATCCACCAATGTTAAGTAGCTGAATACTATTCACAAAACCAGTGGATCATCAAACTTGTCATATGCACTGCTTTTACTATTTGTCAAATGAAAAGACAACAACAAAAAAGTTATAATCCTTCAAAGATATGAAACTGTATCCACACTTAGCTTGTGGCAATTCAATGTGGTCAATTAAAATACCCTTGTGAAATGTTATCTCCATTTTAGTGGGATTTAGGAAACTTGTGGTGAGTTCATTATTCTGAAAAATGCTTTCAAATCTATCTATGATCTGTGAGTTTGAAATGTGTACAAGATCCTTGGTGGAGAGATAGCCTGAAGCAGTCATTGTCCCTTCATGTTAGAGAAACATCTTTTCCTTCCCTTTCAAGAGATATTTGTTTTGTCACATCCTGGCAATGAAGACAGTTGCTATGGAAAACACACAATAGAGCTGGCACTGTGAACACAGACACAGCTCATCCTCTGACAATTATGTGTTTTCACCAGAAAGATTGCAATTTTCAAGGAGACAATACAAACAGAAAGGGAGAGGGAGGGAAAAGCATGTAAAGCGTGCTCACTCAAATTTCAATCAAAGAGGAAGGCCCTGGGGGTGATTAACAAAATGGCGGAAAAAAACAGCTTCATTGTTTTTTTTAAAGTTATTTTTTTGGCCTTTTCATGGCTTTATTGGATAGGACAGCTAAAGATCGACAGTGGGTAGAGAGAGAGCGGATGACAAGCAGCAAAGAGCAGCAGGTCGGATTCGAACCCGGGCCGCCGCAGCAATTCCGTACATGGGCCGCCAGCTCTACCGACTGAGCTAACCAGGCGCCCAAAACAGCTTCATTGTTGAGGAGCCTTGTCAGTTTGCAGTCATCATGACACGACCAGAGAAAGACTGTGGAGGCTCTATAGCTGTGTTGTATGGTGAGTATGCTTTGCACCAACTGAGTACCACTCGCGTTTAGGCAGGTGAACAAGTCCAAGTCAAAGCCGACACTGCATTTACTGCAGCATATAAAAATACTTCTAAATGACCTCAAGGCCTAGCCTGTTTATACTCACAGCTATTTTAACGTTAAGTCCATAATCTGGTTTACTATAGGCAAGATTCTTGTAGGCAACAAGCAGTACTTAAGTGCTTACACATTGGGAAGGCATAAATAGTCATATTGTCCTGTTAGCCAAATGAGTTAGAGGGATTTCCATTCTATTACAAGGTCTCTTGAGATAAAGCATTGACTAGCAGGCAAGTTATCTGTAGTGAGAAATCCACTTTGCATTAATGTGTTCATCCTTCAGATTTATAATGACAGATACATTTGAGCATACCTACTTGTGTTATTATTGATATTTATTCTGCCTACATAGTATACTATTACGGCATGATACTTCATAATGAATGAAAAATTAGCAATAGGTAGGGCTTTTGTTCTTGTCACCATTTTCTCAATGCTTGTTTGTTTCCCCTAAGAGTACAGAGACACATGCACAGAAAATATTTGTTAAAACTGACTCATAATTATACCAACCTGCATAACAGCGTTGAAGAAACAAGTGTTACCAAGGTTATTTATGCCTTTAACAGGAACCAACGTGCTGTTAATGGCTGGACTCTTTCCTTTGGGTGGGTCTGTATAATCTGATGGTTCCTCTTGAAATTTGATGACCTTGGGTGAAGCTCCTGGAACACAGAAAAACAAAACAGGTCAGTGATGCACAGTAGCAGAAACTTCATCAAAAATGATGCATACATGTAAAATTATTCAAGAGATTTGGGGATGGGGATATGGTGTGCGGGTGCTCTTTGAAATTGACAAACGATTCAGTTCCTAAACCCTAATATGGGTTTCACTTTGTTTGGTGCCAAGACTTGGCAGTGAAGCCTAAAAGATAGTGCTGAGGCGGTGACAGGGTTGCAACTTGGTTGTGACTCAGGGTGGATGTCAGCCTTGCAGCTGGAAAATTTCGGCTTCCCTTAAATTGGGATTCCGGCAGGATATAGAAAAAAAATCGAGCTTAGCCTTGAAGCGAGACTAGGGCTGGGAGCAGGGTGCTGGGATGGCAGCTGGAAGGAAAGCTGGGTCATTTGGGAAAGCAGATGACAGCTGTAGAAGTTTCCGCTGGTTAGTGAGGGAGGGGTGGGGGCTGGGGTTGGAGAGATGGCTCTCCAGAGCCAGCTGTTACTCCTGATCACCAATGAAAGCTAACCTTAAACAGAAACTCAGACACAGATGGTCAGAATCTAACAGTGGCATACAGATAGTCTGCTGGGGACAGAGTAGCGTAGGTAGTGTAGCTGTGCAAACTGATGACGTGTCAGCACAACAAAGCCAACACCATGATGACCCAATACCAATAACGTGTTACTTGCACGTGCTAGTAGCTACTGATTGACTACCTGATAAGGAATCTTAAAAATTGACATTATAGTACAAGATACAATGTGTTGAATTAAAGGGAATGATGTGTGTTCAGCCAAAAGCATTACCTGTCAGCCAAATGAAAAGGAGATTAAAGCCACAGCTTTAGGTCAAACTAGCAATAAGCAACCCTTTGCTGCTACACTCTCACTATAAAAACAGATAATAAATACTTTACAGTTTCCTTTGCTTTGCATTGTCATAGTGGTCAGTAGAGACAGAATGTTAGCATTAGCTCTGAGCAGTGGTTTATGTGCAACAAGTTATGTATGCAGTCATTAAGCTTTTTGCCACTGAAGCAGAGTAGAGCCATATAATACAGAGTATCTGATGGTAGAGACTCCTGAATTGTCTTCCATACTGTAACAGTATCCAAATTCACAAACTAAGACAGAAGTACAATTAAGTTAGGAAAACAACCACCTATAATATACAATGTAGGACAAAATATGCAATTTAATGGAATCAGCTAAAACACTACTTCACACTTCCACATGTTTCTCTTATAGGCTTGACAAATCTTGGGTCATTGAAAGGTCTCACAAAGGCAACATTAATTCAAAGACTATTGCACTACTCCCAAGTCTCCCAATTAAAGAAGAATAATTAATAAATGCACAAATAATAAACTTAATAGTGCTTTCTATGGAAAATTATGAAAAATGATGAAGAAAATGAAAAATGTCCATGTGGGAATACACTACATTCAAAACATAAAAATACGGAGGTGGTGCTTGAATTTGAATTTAAGAGAGGGGGATGAGTGAAGCCATGAATGCAGGATAGGTTGCTCTAGAAGGTGCAAATTGAGGCAGAGAGGTGTTCACTCAATGTGATATTTGAGACGTTTGAAAGATCCAGAACATTCCAGGCATTAAGCTTCATACAGGATAACATGGGCTCCATAATAAATGAAAAGCTCAGTGTAGTAATACATGGAATGCACCACAATGTGTAACTACACAGCAACAAGTACATGGCAAATAAAAATAAAATGTTCCCTTTAAAATCTCAGATGGTGGAGGATCCTTGAACACACCTACAAGAAGAGTTTGCATACCAGTAGCTGCTCCATTGCAACCAGATAGATACCTAACAGGAAGAAAAGTATTTCATCCTGATAAGAATGTTGTAGCTGTACAATTACAATGATTGAAATAGTGCAATCATTTTCTTAATGAATTCAGTTAGCTTTCTTTGGACCACCACAGTCTAATATGTCCCACAATGAACCCAAAAGACTTTTACACTAATCTTAATAACATAAAAGATCTCCAACGTTGTTTTTTCCAGCAGCAACCTGTGTGTACCAGTCAATATATGGGTGCACATAATTTTAAAACAAGAAAAAATGCTTATCTATTCTCTCAGTCAAGGTTTAGTTACAACTCTGCACTAATGCAAGACAGAAAACAATGGACTGACATTGATTAGTGATTAAATATTGAATTTAAAATGTTAATTAAGTGGGCATACTGGCCAATATGGATGCACATACCTCAGTAAATAATAACCATCCAGTATTCAGCCAAGCCTTAGTATAAATATAGTTTTATATTTGAAAATGTATAAAAGGAAATCTGGTGGGCTTTTTCCATATCCATCATTTACTGTATATCAATACAACCAATGTGTTTATGAGCACAAAACTGTTTAACAAAAGCATGAAGTCCTTCATAGATCTAGCCTATGCATTTTGCACTTAACTTTAAAATGTACAAAATCGTCTTCCAGGGGAGCGTATGGCCATAGAAAATCCTGTGGGAAACACAGAATACCCATGCAAAATGGCCTGTTTTTACAGGGACTGATGGCAGTCCCTTAAGGCCTATAGGCTGTAGAGAAATCAACCAAACACTGGTACACACAAAAAGAGTTTGGTCCATGAGCACTTCACCCATATAAGCCAGTCAAGAGAGCAGGCTAGCAGCAAGGTCACTGGCCTGAACCCGCTTATATCCATACTAAGGAAATTCAATTGAACCGTAAACCATGATAATCATCATAACAACCTGCACCTTTACACTCACCGTTCTTCTCCTCAACACACCATGGCCTTGCCTTAGCACATATTCAATTCATAGAACCACTCCTTTTGCACAACACTTTTATTGAAAAAGCTATTCAACCTACAGCGATGGTAAGCCCACTGCTGGCCGCTACCCAGCAAGTTTTTCCTCCTCAAGGCCAAGGACATTAGCGGCTGTGCCTTGATCAAACTCGTTGGAATGTGAACCGTGGGCTTTTTACTCGTGGCCTGGCAATTTGCATTTTATACTCAATCAAATTCCACTCAAAGGATTGGGGGTAAAAGGGCAACTTTTCTGTTAAACAGATTTGAGAATAAAAAACACAGTTACTTGAACACAAACACAAACAGCACAAAGTCTCTTTCAGGTCTGCTGGATTATCAAGTTTTTCTTGGCTACATCAAGTGTGTAGCCTTAAATTTACATTGGTTTAACTGAATAATGTTCAACACAGAGGAGAAATGAAGAGAGAATTTTTAGGCTCGTCTTGGGGACTAAAAAGGGGTGAGGTTCAGCTTGTCGGGACAACATGCTTTAGTGGCACTCCACCCAGTGGTGCTAAATGCATCTGGCCCTCTGTGCTGGCAACATCTGGAGGCCTATTTCTATCTTCAATATGCAGCCATAAGGGAGCTCCCATATGTCAACACGCACAATGCATAGAGATGGGAAAAACTGCAGCCCTGATCAGGAAAACAAACTGTGTATTTTGGGATTTTGTGTGAGACTGAGAAGGTGTGAAGAGATGCGTTTACACTAGTGTGAACAACTTAGCAAAAGATGAAGTAATTAAGAGGGAGAAAGTGTGTGTAAATGAGTGTGTCTACTTGCTGTGGTGTTTGTGAGCGGAGACACAAAATCAACAGACTTAATGCAACTTGAGTGTAAGAGCCGCAACTGGCACTTCAGCTAAGAGGGAGCAGAGGAATGAGGAAACTAACTGGGCGGAATGGGGATGCCGATGGACACACTCTGCATCTGGGACCGTCACCCAAGGTAAACAATGTTCAGGGAGCCATCTGGTTGAGACTGGGGAGAGGGGGACAGAAGAGGGAGGGAGGGGCAGTGGGTGGAGGGAAGGGTTGCAACGAGCACAAGCATATGGAAAAGCAGATTTTTCCTCTCCCTGCAGCAGTCAGCGAAGGCAAATGTCAGCATGCGCTGCGTCCACGCTTGACTGTCCTGCACTCGGCACCACCACCTGGCCCTCCTTGCTCAGCCACCGAGTATGGGCAGCAGTGACACTGTGGAGCCTTTCCCCAGGGTAGAGGAAAGCATCACGGTGCTCAGGATCGTCCACATGCACGCATGTACACCAACACCTCCTGCACTCCCTGCTCTTTTTCACACAAGAGATACACAAAGAAACATGGGACTTGCTTACTTTTACAGAGCATAGCACTTGCTCAAGAAAAAAAAAAAACACAAGCTCAGGTGAAATCTTTTAAAATGTATAATGTTCTGTTTCGATGTTTTGTTGAGCTGAAGGCCAACACAAGACATAATGGAAGAAAATTCAAGCTCATGAAACAATGCCATAAACAAAACATATTCTTTTCACACTAATATGTGCTGCTCTCTTCAATTTACAACTGCACCAGATCCAACACAATGACATTTTTTGTCTCACATCCACTTGGTTTATATAATTAAGCCAAAACCAAGAGCTTGTAAAAGTACATTTTCCATAAAAAGGCTTTTTTCGACTGGCTTTTTCATAGCCTTCCTAATGTGGTTCGCAGTTGAGCTGAGAGATCATCAAATCGTATGGCCAGTGGGCTCTTAATGCCTCCATGTTCTCTTACAGTGCAGCAGTGTGGAGGGCCAAGGCCAGCTCCCTTCATGCAGAGCAAGCAGTCAAGAGGAAGGCCAGGCAACACCAAATGTCTTATTAATTCACTAATTTGTTGTGACTGCAGGGCATGAAAAGCCTGTTTCCTTGCCATCTGAGGCCAAGAGAACCCAGTGCCATGTTACTTACAGACACACAGACACACAGACACACACACACACACACACACACACACACACACACACACAGAGAGAGAGAGATACATATACACAGCTTTTCCTACCCACTATCTGGCCTACTTTCATGTGCGGTGGTGGGAATAAAGACAGAATCACCCTTGATTACCTCCATGAAAGCACCACCAGGGGACAAGCATCTTACTGGCTACTGCCTCGGCTGAGTTGAACTGACAGTGACGGTTTCCAAAATCAACAACCAG